AGCCGTGTAATGGGAGTGAGCATTTGATTCTGGCAATACATAGGTGTTGCAAAGCTTCTGCTTGCGCAATGAGAACTGCTGGATTTGGGAAGTGACCTGCCTTTTCACCGCGGATTTCACTGTAGTGCAGCCAAGATATAAAGAATCACCACGGGAGAAAACTGACTGAACATTTGCACCAATCTTGGGTATTTTCAGACCTATACCAGAAGGGTGACGGAAATCTAAAATGTTGATGGAATCAGAGGTGCAAAACACACCATCATTTCCTTCAACTTCAGAAGAACTAGCCCTGCATCGAAATATGAAGGTTCAAACTTTTGATAGAGGTGAAAATGATCTGCTATAGGCTGAACTATAATGAGAACTTTGTTAACCATGCTATCTTTTCATACTATTAAGTCGTAGTATTTCTCAAGGAGTTTCTAATCTTTCAGTGTCTGTTATTACCTGTTGTTATCTTGCATGATATCTTTTGTAGTTACGCTTCCTTTTCTCAGAATACTTTAACATGCTCTCAATAGACTACAATATTACGCCATGATTTCTTCTATTGTTACTTCTTTTTTTCCTACTTTTACAATTTTAGTTGAGCCGAGGATCTATTGGAAACATCCTCTCTACCTTACACTCTACCCTCCCAGACCCCACTTATGAGATTACACTAGGTATGTTGTTGATATTGAGAAAACAACATACAGAAAACTCTTTGAGCCAATCATGTAAACCAGTGACCACAGAGACCTGCTAGGCATAAAAGAATTTCATATAACTACAGCAGAAAACTGCTCCAATTTAGAAGGCAAGAATTGTACTTCTTGGAGACTTAATAGCTTTCTACCCAAACCTAGGGTCTAAAAACTTGTTTTGCTATAACTTCCCCTTGAACCTTTATAGAGTTTATGATTCATTTGCCATATAAAGGAACAAATGTTAACTTGTTTTTGGAAAATATCAAGTGTTACCAACATCAACATACAAATCTTTTATCTTTCTTTTTACAGCTCCCAACCATATTTCATCACCAATATGCAATATGTTCAGTATAGAAAAGCATATGTTCGACAAGAAGCATATCCAAGGTATGGAAGAAACTAATTAGAGGCATGAGAGGGGAAGTAATTGTCATATCCAATTTATTGCAAGGATATTAGGTGAACTAGATCAGTTTTACCTCTGTCGAACTCCTCCACCCAGCTCAGCATCTGTGTTATTTACATGGAAAGCAGAAATTTGTCGACCAGAGGATGATATAGAAAGCAGTGCTTGAGGACTTATGGAATTGACATCCCATAAAGAAAGACCCTCTGTCTCAGCTATCACTATTTTTCCTCTGCTTCTCCATTGCAAAGGACTTGAGTAATCCATAGACAACATTGGTCTCTGTAAATCCCATTTCAGGACCTGCTCTCCATCACGGATATCATAAGTTCTGACCATCCTTTGGCAACTAGCACCTGATACGATGAGTGGTCCACAAGGTTTGTACCACCATTGCTGATTTTGAGGCGCCATAATTGATGATAGAGTATTTCTCCTATACATTGGATTATTAGGTAATGGAGCAAGGGCTGCTCTTGTGTTACTAAATCCATCATCAACATGAAAGGCTCGTACATCTTTTGTGTAGAAGTCCCAGGAACAAAAACCTGAATCCATGGAATTTCCCGCAGATGCTGCCACCACATATCTCCCTGAGGAACCATCTACACCAGGAGCACGGACTATCCAACAATCTCTCCACATATTTGATGAGACTCCAACTGGAGGTTTGTACTCAGCTTTCTCCTGAAATGATAACAAATGTTAAGGAACTATTCTTAGAAGCTGACGAATTAGCTTAATTATTGGATATCATACCCTTCCAAACTTCATCTAAAGCTTAACAGACCAGAAGATCATTAAAGTCACATATTAAGACTCATGCCATAACAGGAGAAAACAACAACATACCCCTACCTTCTAGAGATATAGAGGAGGTTCCCAATAGTCCCTTGGTTTTTTTTAAAAAAACATTTGGAGGCAGTTTGAAAAAGGAAATACATAAATGAAGCAGTAACAACAATGAAACAGTGTGAGATGGAAAACAGTATACAACATACAATGAAACAGTGTAAGATGAAAAACAGTACACAACATACAATAAAATAGTGTGAGACGGAAAAGAGTACACAACATACACAAGAAAAAACAGTAACAACAACAAACAATGCATTAACTGAAGCACAAAAAAATAGGAGATAAAAGTCATGCTTGGGTTCATTTGACATCTTAATATTTAGAGGGAAGTAGAGCTAAGCAGATAATACCTCGCAATGCACAATATCATAGAAAGAGCAGGAACTGTCATCATGTGTAAGGAGAACAGATTCTCCCTCAGAGACAAACCACCCTCCAGTAGATGTCTTACGGCCAATCTCATTGAGTTCACATATAGAACTATCTTCTGTCTCTTCCTCCATCAACATTTCTTGTTTATTCTCTTGAGCATCAAAACTTTCAAGCCTCTCATCACTTGCCAGGAGATGATCAACAATTTCTTTTCCTTTGAACAGTTCTGAAGAAGAATTTTGGTTTTGTGAACTTACTGCATCATCCACATCTTGAACATTGGAAATCTGTAAACAAGCATCCTCACACCTAGTAGTAACTTTAGACTGCTCCTTACTAAGAGAAGCCAAGAACTCCACAGCAATAGGATTCTCATCAATAGGACTAACATAATTCTTCTCGGGCTTCACTTCAATAGTTGATTCAGCAGATCCAAGTTCCTCATTTTTGGTACAGCCCATTAGTGTCTTCAGAGATGTCCTGTCTCGTAGCAATTTATGATGAGGGAACAACCTTGCCTCTAATTCCTCTACATTTAATCCCTTCACAGAGATTTTCCCATTATCCTCAGGTATTGTTTCCTTCTCATCAATAATCATGTCCTCACTGCTAATGCTACCCAGCAAACCAATTTCTCTATCCCCATCCACTATATTACACATCCCCTTCTCAATCCCACATATCTTCTCATCAACATTCAAACTCTCATTTTTACTGCTACTCGTCAAACCTATTTTTTCATCCCCATCAACTACATTACCCATTGCCTTCTCAATCCCGGATATCTTCTCTTGGATATCAGAAATTATCAACTTAGAAGAATCAGGATTATTCATATCCAACATCTCCTTAGTCCTCTTAATATCAGTTGCAATCCTCTTCACTTTTCCTTCCAAGAACGCAAGCTTCTCATGCAGCTTACTTGGGTACTTATTCACACTTGAACCAACCTTCCCTTGTTCATTTTCACATTTCTCTTTCGACACTCCAGAAAAACTATTCGATTTGGTCAGCAATCTCGGATCTTTCACAGTAGACTCAACAACATTCCCACTTTTATCAACCAAAGATTTCAACTTTACTGAACTTGAGCTTGAGATAAGCTCTTCTCTATCACAAAATTTAGAATTTTTACCTTCAGATATCTTAATTTTCTCAGATTTTACATCAAATTTTCCCAAAAGTTCACGACTTTTCTCCATTTCCGTCGAAACCCTATTCCCATTTTCACTCAATTTGTCATTCACACCTCGAGAATTCCCTGAAACCCTAGAGACCCTAGATGTTTTGCGTATATCCGACAAGGTCTTAGAAAACTCAGATGGACTAGAACTCCTACCTCTAGGCACAGACGTTGACCACCTCGCACGTGGCTCGGCACGTGCCTCTCCACCTTCAGCTCCGGTTGCCGTCGCCGTCCCCGATGCCGCCTTGTCAATTCTCGGCATGGCACGAAGCACCGGTTTCTGATTAGTCGACGCCGTTGCAGCCCGAACACGCGATGTGGGTCTCGGATTTTCTTTTCCGGTGGACCGCCTGAGATTCTCCCCGCCGATGGAATTAACAGAAGACGATTTGTTGGAAAGTGGGGTTAGGGATTTGGAAGGTCTAGCGGTGGTGGTGGATGGCGGCACGTTGATCTTGGCTCCGGCGGCGCCGCCACGGTCCTTAAGCCGGCGAAGTGGTGCTGCCGTCGACATTTTTGTATTTTTTAAGGTTTTTCTGGAGAAAAAAAAAGTGAAAACTGCAAAAGGTTTTTGAGGTATTTGCTTGAATTGAAAAGATTAGAGATGAAAGATTGAGCGGGAAAATGATATGTTTTTGGAATATTTTTCAAAAAAAATTGAGATTCCAAAATTCAAATTTGAGTGTTTGGATATAATTTGAAGTTTTGTTTTTTTTTTCTTAAACCCAAGAAAAGAATGTGTAGTCGCGCTTAATAGTCGAGGTAGAAATAAAATTTACGTATATTTTATTTTTCGAGATCTCAGCTATTGAATTGTTGTTGTTGAAATATGATTTACAAGTTGTGTTTTGAAATGTAATGTTTAAGTCGGATTTCTAAAATGATTGTCATATGTCATTTTTTTATGAGCATTTTCGTGAAATCAAGCTAAAGTTGTTTTTATAACAGTTAGAACAAAGCAAAAAGAATTTTAATATACAATTCGTACATAAATATGTAATTTAATTTGTTTTTAAAAATGTAATTACGTAAACATTATTATAATTTATTTATAAAATTTAACAAATAAACACATATATCTTATTTAACATTATAATATAATAATTTATGTCCTACGTATATTATAACACGCGTGTGCACGAAAGAATATGATTTATAAATGTGCCATTGACCATCTACACGTCTCATAGTGTCCCACATTGCTACCCACTATTACTAATCATAAGGAACCTTTGGTTTCGATTTCACCTATCTTAATCAGAAATTTTGATACGAGTTTTTTAATATATAATAGTATTTTATTTTTCATTAGAGATTTCAATTCGAATATCTTTGTTATAGAGGTTTTATAATTTTTAATATGAAATTTTTAAATTTAATCGTTTTAAATATGAATACGAGACACCGAATAAAAGAAAAGGGAAAGAAGGAAATGGGTCCCTTAGCTTTTTTATTCAACACAAAACTAGAAAAATGTAGATTTGTTACTACAACTACACCACCAATCAAACTCCACAAAAGATCGATCCTTTTTTCTGAAATTCAAGCTCAACCATGGCTTCTCTACTTCATTCGAGACTTCCCCTTTCTCACAATCATTCTTTATCAAATTCTTGCCAATCTTTCCCATGTCATCTCCCAGGAAGAAGCAAGAGAAGTACTCAAAGATTATTAGAGGAAAGGAGCTATGACAGCAAGAGAAGTTTAGTTTGCCAGTCGGGTATTGATGAAGTCACTTTTATTGAGCCACCTGGTAGTAAAGAAGCTGAAGCGGAGCTTATTGGGTCTCTCAAACTCAAGTTATTGGTACTTAAAAATCTAATCTTTTTGATCCCCTTTTGTTATTTTCTTGAATTTATCTGAATGTTGTTGCTTACCTATATGTTGTCATTGATGGGTGTATGTTTGGTTTTTTATCTTGACTGTTGGTCATTGTCTTATGGAAAATTCACTATCTTGTGGTACATGAGTAGTAAAGAAGCTAAAGCTGAGCTTATTGGGTCTCTCAAACTCAAGCTTTTGGTACTTAAAAATCTGATCTTTTTGACTCCCTTTTGTTATTTTATTGATTTTATCTGTTTGTTGTTGCTTCCCTATGCAGTTGTTTTTGTTGTCTTTGATGGGTGTGTCTTGGATTGATTGATGGTCATTGTGTTAAGAGAATTTCACTATCTTGTGGTACATAGGTTACTAAGAAGCTAAAGTTGAGCTTATTGGGTCTCTCAAACTCAAGTTTTTGGTGCTTAATAAATCTAATCTTTTTGACCCCCTTTTGTTATTTTCTTGAATTTGTCTGTTTGTTGTTGCTTCCCTATGCAGTTGTTTATGTTGTTTTTGATGGGTGTGTCTTGGATTCTTTATCTTGATTGATGGTCATTGTGTTATGGAAATTTCACTATCTTGTGGCACATAGGTAGTAAAGAAGCTGAAATGGAGCTTGATGGGTGTCTGAAACTCAAGCTATTGACACTTAAAGCTCTAATCTTTTTGACCTCCTATTGTTATTTTCTTGAATTTATCTGTTTGTTGTTGCTTCCTATGTAGTCATTTGTGTTGCCTTTGATGGGTGTGTCTTGGATTCTTTATCTTGATTGTTGGTTATTGTGTTACGGAAGTTTCACTATCCTGTGACACATAGGTAGTAAAGAAGCTAAAGTCGAACTTATTGGGTGTCTCAAACTCAAGTTATTGGTACTTAAAAATCTAATCTTTTTGACCCCTTGTCTAATTTTCTTGAATTAATCTGTTTGTTCTTACTTATCTTTGCAATTATTTATGTTTCCTTTGATGGGTGTGTCTTGGATTCTTTGTCTTGATTGTTGGTCATTGTCTTATGGAGATTCCACTATCTTGTGGTACATAGGCTAGCCTAGACTTTAATCCTGTTTGCTCTATTGATCCCCTTGGAGTCAATTTCAATATCCTTTCCCTCTTAGTCACATCCGTTGAGCCACCTGGCAGTAAAGAATCTAAAGTTGAGCTTTTTGGATGTCTGAAACTCAAGTTATTAGTACTTAAAGCTCTAATCATTTATTCCTTTTCCTTGAATTAATCTTCTTGTTCTAACCTCCCTATGCAGTTATTTATGTTGCCGTTGATCGATGTGTCTTGGATTCTTTGTCTTGATTATTGGTAATAGTCTTATGGAAATTCCACTATCTTGTGGTAGATAGGCTAGCCTAGACTTTAATTTATTTGCTCTATTGGTCCCCTTCTAGTCAATTTCATTTCCCTTTTCGTGTAAACATTGATTTCCTTGCTCAAAACTCCGTCCATGTGAGCTTGTTAATACATAGCCAACTCCAAATTAGAGCTGAGTAAGATTGTGGTAGGTTGAAAGTCAACAAAGAAATAGTCAAATTAAGATGAATCCTCTCGAAACTTGATTAGACGGGAATGGATACAAAGCTGACTCAACTAATTTGTTGTTGGAGTAGTTGGATTGAATTGATTCTTGGCTTTATTTCTGGTTTCTCTTTTGGGCTTTCTATCATGCAAGTACATTGTTATCCAAGTGATACTGAACTTGTTTGTTACCACCTAAACAGCTCGAGTCACTGAGGAATTAAGTGTGATCTGATGAGGTAAATGACAGATTAAGGCAAAATCTACCTCTGCTCCTGTCTTCTAAAGTGCTACATAAATGTTGAAACTTGAAATTTAGTTTGTGATTCAGAATTTAGTATTTGAGTACGAGGGGGGTTTCATAATATAGTCTAACTCCCTTCTGTAACCTTTTCGTAATCGATTTTGGCTTCTTTAATGGTCAATGACCATGTTTCTCCATTCAAATTCTCCTAGACACCCTTGCGGCAAAAGAGATTACTACTTGTCCCAGCATTTTGTACCATTGAAGGATCTGGTCAGACTTTGAGGCTACTCAACTGAGAGACTAATGAAGATCAGATATTGCTGTTGATGTTGGAATATATATTTTCCTAAAATATTCAGTTCTTGGATTCGCTCTGACTACAGAAATCACCGTTAGAGTGGCAATGTCTAAGGACAAAAAAAAAATGAATACTCTCCTGCTTCAATTGCCAATTAACTTGCTTTACATGCTTAGTATCTTATGGTTTTGCACATCTAAGTGCAACAGAATGGTTGTTGATCTGGAGGGGAAGATGTATGCAACTGATGTTGCTGTCACCATGAGCTTATGCCTATCTCCTTCTTGGCTAGGTCCAATATTTGGCAGAACCATTAATATTTTATCATCGTTAAGTATAATTGTCATTGGAAGAGGTTGCGAATATTTCCCCGTCTCCTCTTACTGTTCTAAGTTTTTATCTCTTTTCCCCTGGAATTTAATCTTGCTGTCACCATGAGCTTATGCCTATCTCCTTACTGGCTAGGTCCAATATTTGGCAGAACCATTAATATTTTATCATCATTAAGTATAATTGTCATTGGAAGAGGTTGCGAATATTTCCCCGTCTCCTCTTACTGTTCTAAGTTTTTATCTCTTTTCCCCTGGAATTTAATCTTGGTTTTTTAAATTACTTCGTACAATGACATATCCTTATCAATCATCTGCCGTTAAAGCTATAGAGACGTGTGCACTCCTTTGTTATGTATTATATTGATTATAGCAAGTTAGGAGGTTCCTCTTGACAAATGTGTTGATCACTTGCAGAGTGCTGTTTCTGGGCTAAACAGAGGTCTTGCTGCAAGTGAAGATGATCTAAAGAAGGCGGATGAGGCTGCCAAGGAGCTAGAATCTTGTGCAGGAGCTGTAGATCTCGCAGCTGATCTTGATAAACTTCAAGGGAGGTGGAAATTGATATACAGCAGTGCATTCTCATCTCGTACTCTTGGTGGAAGTCGTCCTGGACCCCCCACTGGAAGACTTCTTCCCATCACTCTTGGTCAGGTAAGCTAAAAGTACTCATTTAATTCTGTAAGAGCTGGCCACTTCCCGTCCTCTGTTACGAACATGCTTACAGTGGTTAACCATGAATTAAAGAGAACACAGAGTGGTTGGTCGGACATCTATTATGATTACCATAGACATGTTATGAAGAGAACAAAGACAGTTTGTCATCATATTCAGAGGAGAATCTAGGATTTAAGTGACTTTGGAGTACCGTTGCACCCACTACGTCATTGTGATGAGGTCAAAGTTGGTATAAATATATACTTTAAATGAATTTTCAACTCTCCCCCTCTGTGAGTGGTTGCACCCGCAGCTGCTACCTTTGACGTAAATCAGCCCTTGATTATTTCCAGGTTAAGAAGTTGCATTCTTAAAGTCCTATCCTAGATTTGTTGTGGAACATCTTTCCATGGTTTTGCCTTGCAGTTATAAGGATCAATATGTTCATTTCTTTAGCTTGCTGCAGAACAATGTTGAGCGTTCTAATTCACTACTATATATCAAGCTTATATATTGATACACGGTAGCATAATCGACTGATTTGGTTTGATCAGGTATTTCAAAGAATCGATGTACTGAGCAAAGATTTTGACAACATAGTGGAGCTTGAATTAGGTGCTCCGTGGCCTTTCCCGCCTGTTGAAGCAACTGCCACTTTAGCCCACAAATTTGAACTTATAGGTTGGTTCTGTGTTTTCTCACATCTCTTGGACCAATTGGTATGATTGCTTCTCTTTTTGCAGTACAAAAGTTCTAAAGTTTTCGTATCTCACATCATGTTTATACATTTCCACAAATAGGATCATCTACGATTAAGATTATATTCGAGAAAACTACAGTGAAGACAACTGGAAATTTATCACAGCTCCCACCATTAGAAGTGCCTCGCATACCAGATCAGTTCAGGCCACCATCAAATACAGGAAGTGGTGAGTTTGAAGTTACCTACATCGATTCTGATACACGAGTAACAAGGGGAGACAGAGGAGAGCTTAGAGTTTTCGTTATCTCATAAGTTAAGCTGCAATGAATATAGTCTTCCTACAATGTTTTGTTGCTACAATTTCATGTAACAACATATCAAATGTGTAGATATGCTCAACATTATTCTGCTGGTCACAGCTATCAAATCTGTAATGCTACTGCAAATTCAAATCTGTATACAGTAAATTTGACATCTGATGGACTTGTGCAGTGAGATTTCAAAAATACATGAGGTAAGTTAAGGTCTACGTACACGTGGGATTACATTGGGTATTGTTGTTATATCACTTATATGAGGTAAGGAACAACAAAGAAAATCCTTATATTCAAAGTCACCGTTTTCTCTATTTATTATTATGACAAATTAGTATATCGTGATGTCAACTTGAGATCTTATTTTAGTTCGATATGTCTATTAATGAGACGCGTACAATGTCAACCAATAAAGAGTCACACTATGTATACATAGTTCGAGTCGAAAGCAGTAACAAAGTAAATGCTACTCCCCACAACTAAAGAACTCCCAAGACTCGAACTCTCTTTGATTTGATGGTATTGCAATTTGCAAGAAGCATGAACACAAGTATCTTGGCTCTACTACTTGAAAAGCAGAGCTTGGTAACATAAATCTTTTGATCTAACATAAATCTTTTGATCTACACGATAATCTCAAATTAATTGTATTTATTTAGATTTATATAGTCCAATAATGACAGGATTTATCCTAGTTAAATAAGTTTAGGCAAATAAGATTAGAGGGTGTTTGGCTAATCTAGTCAAATTAGTTTATTAACACTTTTTAAACTTATCAACATAACTAGTAGTACTTGACTCAAAATCTTTAAGTTAGTCAACACCAATTTATGGCTTTTCACTTATAGCACTCAAAATTACTTTTTAGAACTTATATATTCTTATCAATTAACTTTCCATAAGCTACTCTCTCTGTCCTAAGTCCTAATTTATGTGATTCGCTTTTCTTTTTAGTAAATTCAAAAAAAATGATATATTTCTATATTAAGTAACAATTTTTAATTATAAAATTTCTATTTTATCTTTAACGAAATGATTTACAGCCACACAATTTTCTATCATTCATTTTGGATCACAAGTTTTAAAAATATTTCTTTCTTAAATTATGTGCATAATCAAAATACCTCACAGAAAATTAGACGGACTGAGTATTTCAAAACAACTAGATGAAATTGTCCCTATATAAAAGTCGATCAATAGTCAACTTTCATTTCTTGATCCGTCTGATCATTTGATCTTCTCAATTTAACTCGCCTTTGAATTATCATTCATGTTAGATAAACCAACAAAAAATTCGATTTTTTGCTAAAACTATAAGATTTTTATTTTTTTACTTGTAACTAAGTGAAAACGACAAAAGTGCAATAATTAACATAAAAATTTAGATACAGAATCTTTTAGCTCTTTTAAGTTTTAAATGTTTATTTAATATTAGACTCTTCAAATGTTTATTTATTACTTATTTTCAAATATTTATTTATCAAGGTGAAAATGCAAAAGGTTAAAATGGTAAAAAAAGACGAAGATGGTTTCAAAACAAAAAATTGAAACTAGCCGTTACCAATTTAAACGTTTAAACTTTTCATTTTTTTGAACTTTCAAAAACAAAAACATCCAAAAATACAGTCCATTTTTTTTTTTTTTTCATTTCACTCTCAATTCTGAAGAACCCATTTCTGTCTTCTCCAATTTTCCATTTTTAGCTGAAAAAAAAGAATCAAATCAGTGACAGAACAAAATCCCCATTTCAAAGATTCAATCTTGGTCTGTAAAATCTTGAAATTTTCTTGAAAAAATTTGATCAGTGATTAGAAAAAACGAAGCCCCATTTGTAATCTTTCAATGGCTCCTACACCATCATCAAAGAATCATGCAACTCCAACTCCGTCATCGAAATTGCACCAGACCCATGTAAATTCAAGAACCCCACAGTCGAAGCATCGTCTCAATTTCAACTCAGCAAAACCCTCACCAAACCCTAATTCTACAGCAATGAAAGAAGGGGGTACACCTCCCGAGCACCCGGTAGAGGTTATTGGTAGGATTCGTGATTACCCGGATAAAAAGGAGAAATCTTTATCAGCATTGCACGTGAATTCTGACTGTAGGTCCTTACGTGTTAGGACTGATATAGGGTATAGGGATTTTAGTCTTGATGGTGTTTCGTTGTCCGAAGAAGAAGATCTTGATGAGTTTTATAAGAAATTTGTTGAGTCAAGAATTGATGGGGTGAAATTAGGGGATAAATGTACTATAATGATGTATGGACCAACTGGTGCTGGTAAGAGTCATACTATGTTTGGGAGTGTTAAGCAGCCTGGTATTGTGTATAGGTCATTGAAGGATATATTGGGTGATGGAAATGAAGAAAGTGATGAAAATAGTGAGAAGAAGGTTGGTGTTGGCACATTTGTTCATGTTACTGTGTTGGAGATTTATAATGAGGAGATTTATGATTTGTTATCGACGACTAATGGTGGTGGAGGATTTGCTTTTGGTTGGTCCAAGGCCTGTGCTTCCAAGGTACATATAGTTCTTTGATGCACTAGTAATGTTTCATACAGAATAGTAGTAGTAGTCTCTTATCTGATATTTTGTCCATTTCTTGTTTTTCGATTGATATGTTTCTCGAGGTTTTAGTACAACATGTTTAGTTCTGTATCATTGATTCTGCAATTTCACTGAATGAAACCTTGTCGTTATAGTTGTAATTTGTATCAAGCAAAATGCTTTTAATGCTCCAGTTTCTAAATGTGCTAGCTGATGACTTGAATTTGTAGCAGCTATAGGCTAAGGCTTTTATTATTTAAGTTTCCTGTTGAATAGAAATTTCAGTTGACTTTCGATAGCCATTAAAGATGATGTGCTTTTTATTATTCAAGTGACATTTGCTCAATGTAATTTCAGTATTTACACATACTACTCCGTGCATGACATGAACGGATAACACTAGTATTGTTTGGTAGAGATTATGTAAACGAGAACCTACATGAAGTTATAGAAGGATAAGTATCTGTACACCAAATGTCAATGATCCTTTCGGTATATGGCTATGGAAGGATGAGTATTTTTCAGTAGAGAAAATCGGATCTTCTTTATCATAAATGGTTGATCCTGCATGGCTAATAGATGTAAATAGTTAGAAATTAGTACCAAAGTCTGTTAAAAAAATGATTGTTCTTTACTGATTTTTATGTGTCTGTACAATGTTGGTCCTGTCTTTACCTTGCAGGTGAAGCTGGAAGTTATAGGTAAAAAGGCCAAAAATGCAACTTTTATTTCGGGGACTGAAGCTATAAAGATATCGAAAGAGATCCAAAAAGTAGAGAAGAGAAGAATAGTAAAGAGTACTCTGTGTAACGAGAGGAGCTCTCGGAGCCACTGCATGGTATATGTTTAATCACTTTTTCATGGAAATAAGTTCATTCAATTTCTAGTTTCGGTAATGAATATTTGTCTTCAATTGCAGATAATCCTTGACGTTCCAACAGTGGGAGGGCGATTAATGCTTGTGGATATGGCCGGTTCTGAGAATATTGAACAAGCTGGTCAAACTGGTTTGGAAGCGAAAATGCAGGTAAGAGTTCTGGATTCACTTGGCTCACTTGTATTAAGTTTATCTGATTTCCTTTTGAAGTTACTCAAATGTATGACCATCTATATGATATGATTGTGTCTTACTGTGGTACCTTGATAATTAAATCTTGCAGACTGCAAAAATCAACCAGGGAAACATTGCATTGAAGAGGGTTGTTGAGTCCATTGCTAATGGTGATTCTCATGTGCCATTTCGTGATAGCAAGTTAACCATGCTATTACAGGTAAGTTTGCATGTGCTGGTGATCTATGTTGCTTTGGACTCTTCATAAATGTCAATAGGTGTGTGTCAGGTTCTCTAAAAGTGGTGTATTTTTGGAGGATCTGTGCGGGGGTGGCATCAAAAGTGAAGAGTCCGTGCAACTTATCTGGTTATAGTATGGCAGCTGATTGCTTTGGAAGTGTTCATTGACTCTGATAGTTGTTTCAACTGTTTTGTTTAGGACTCTTTCGAGGATGACAAGTCCAAAATTCTTATGATACTATGTGCAAGTCCAGATCCTAAAGAGCTCCACAAGACTATCTCCACTCTGGAATATGGTGCCAAAGCAAAGTGCATTGTCCGTGGTCCTCATACGCCATTGAAGGAGAAAGGTACAGAGGATTCTTCATCGACAGTTATCTTGGGATCAAGGATTGCCGTTATGGATCAGTTCATCTACAAGCTTCAGATGGAGAACAAGCTGAAAGAGAAAGAGCGTAATGAAGCTCAGAAAGAGCTTATGAAGAAAGAAGAAGAAATGGCTACACTAAGGGCCAAACTGGAGTTAGTACAAGGAAAGGGAACGGAATTAACCGAGGAGCAGATCAATCTTAAAGTAAATGAGAGAACTCAGATGTTGAAAAATGAGTTAGAAAAGAAGATACAAGAATGTCAGAAAATGGCAAATGAAATTGTTGAAATGGAGTGGAGGAAGATGGAAGAAAGAATGTTCCAGCAGCAACAAGAATTTGAAACGCTCCGGAGGCGCTTGGAGGATATGGAAGCTGAGCTTCACCGCTCTAGAGCTGAAAGTGGATCAATGGAGGAAAATACTTTCGCAAAAAGGCTGCAAGAAATTTACTCTGAAGATGCAGGAATGGTGAAGTCTATGGATTTGGACAGATCAATTGATATGGATGCTGGAAAGCGGGATGTACTAGTCTATAAACCTGAAGGTAATACTTTCCAAGCAATCTCGGGTTATCCTAACATAAGCAATTTAGGAGAAGTTGAAGATCCACTTTTCACCAATAAAAGTAGCTTGAGCACTGTATTTGAAGAGGATGAAGAAGGTGATGATGAAGGAGATACAGAGAATCCCCCCGTCGATGAGGAGGTGCAGAAGGAGGTCATTGAGGAAAAAACAATATATTCTGATCTGCTTGATCAAGATATGAGTTGTTTGAGAACAGATCCTGATCATTTCATTGATTTATTGAAGGACAGTGATGTTTGTATGGGTGCAGCCCCTTCTAGGCAAGCGCTTATTCAAAACATTTTCACACTCTGTGGCAATTATAGAGAGCTTTCTCAGCATAGTGTAAGCCCAGTGCCTGCACAGAAGAATTTGGAAGATATTGATTCTTCAGTACCCACAGTTAAGACAATTGGAGAGGATTATGCATCTGCGTGTGCTGCAGAAGGTTTGTCCAATGAACTTTTGCCATTATGCAATCCCGAGACCATAAAAAAGTCACCAGTTAATCAGACAAGAATGTTCAAGAGCTCTTGTGACAAAGAAAATGATTCAAAGGAGAACTTCAACCCTACTTGTGGCAATCTTGAAGTCCACGTGAAATGGGAAGCTGCATCAAAAGAGAATCCTAGTGTAGCAACCACAGTAAAGGTTGGCAAAGATTCATCCTTAGCTGATCTGCGCAAACAGATTGAGCTACACCTCGGTGCAGACAATCCATTCACTTTCCTTACAATAGGGGTATGTTTTTATACTTAACTGGCTTAAGAAAAATGTTTATACTCACTTCATTTGTTATGACAGTTATTTGATATGAAACTGTTAATTTTTCTGTAATTAGGATCCATCTGGTGCCCCGATGCCTAAAGAACAGGAGGTAGTCACATCAGTGAGTAAGCTTCCAAAATGCAACAACTTCTCATGTGGTCACTTAGCTTACTTGCGCCCAGTGAAGGGAACACAACGGTTCAATCACTTGCCATTTACTCCACTGGAAAATATGCTTCCATTAACTCCAAAGTCACATATCAAAGAAGTAGGTACTGGACTTTCTCCCAAAATAGGAGAACATCTGAGTAGAACACCTTTTGTAACTGTCAAAAGATATCTAAACGAGTTTTAGTTGATATGCGCGTATAATTTGTGTGAATCATGTATGTAATCACGCGACCATTATGATATTTTTGCTCTTGAGTACATCACATATGTACTCATATTGGATGATTGATTTACTTTGTCACATATGTTTTCAAATACTTGGATTTCATGTCTTAATTCATACCTCTATTCTTTTAATTTCTTTCTGGTGGCACTCCAAGAGTAGGGGGGAAATGGAGAAAGGAATAGAACCGCAGAGGACTTGGATGGCCAAAATTCTAACAACTTATGACTCGAGCTTCATGCACTCGACTTAGAGATCATTGAGATAGCTGATTCTGAAGGCACATGAAACTTGTGGAAATCATTAAATCACACTTCAAGAGAGCAAAATGAGTCCAGTGCTGTGCATGATGTCGTTCTAAACTTGACGTGTAGGTAAAAACTATGTTGAACTTGCGAGGAATATGATGAATATATCGATAGATTGATCTCAACTTACTTACAACTAGCATTCCATAAACTGAGATCATATGCGTTCTTTCCTTACATTTGAGCTGGATGAAATGAAAACAAAAGCAACAGATCTGGTAAACTTTTTGGCGAAAACTAACGATGCTGATACTGGAGAAGTTGATCATGAAGCCTTCATACTGTCCAAGCCAACACTAGTCTGCAACCAAAAAACATGCATCACTGACAAACTTAAGACAACCTTACTCTTGTCGAAAACCTGAAAAGAGTATCTATCATACCAAAAATTTGTGGATCTGCTGAAGTATAGGCGAAAACGTCGTAGAGAACTTCTCCATATCACTATTGATGTCACCATTGCCACTTATGACCTCCATGAACTTTTTCCTATCTGGTGCAAGCTTTATCGCGACCTTTGTATCACATTAGAAACACGTTAACACGTTTTACAGGTAGAAAAGATTGATTAAATGTACTTACATGGCATTTGAAATGCTGGTGTTAAGGCCATTATTAGACTGAAAACACAGTGAAGTACATACCGTAAAGCTTGAACTAGCGAGCCATCCATGCCATTTCTTCAACGTCTTGGAGTAAGAATCATTGCAAGCTTGGGACATTGACCAATCCTGATGCTGAGCTAAGTTGTGAAAGAGCACGACTATGAAGTCCATCGCTCTGCAGCATTAGCAGAATCATCTATTAGTCTGATTTATCTTGACGCGTTATGGTAGTAAAGTTCGTTCATCAAATAAACAAATGCAAGCTTGTTATGCACCAAAGCTTAGAAGGGCAGCCCTGTGCACAAAGCATTCCACGTTCATGCAAGGTCCGGGAAAGGGCCACACCCCAATCACTAGGAGACAACTTTATGGAAAAACAATCGCGCACCTTGTTAACCATAGAAGTCCATTAGTACAACTGGATGAAGATTTAGCTGTCTTTATCTCAACTTCTGCCTGTACAAAACTGTACAAGTAGTTGAATCTCGATGGATTATCGTTATACTTGGATTCTAACCTCTGTAAGGAAACAAGCATTCCGAATTCACCATTAGAACCAACGTAAGATATTTATGTTTCATATGTTGTTCAATATAAGGTTTCTGCAACATTTTAAGTGCAAACTGATGACAGTTGAACCAATAGATCAATTTTACTACTCAAGATGATTGTCGTTATAAGTAAACATCGATGAACATTGCAATTTATCGATTACATGAGCTCTAAAACCACAAATTACTCTGCTACACATGAAATCTGCATCACAAGTCGCAAGATTCTTGTAATATTCAAACAGAAGAAACAAAGAAATGACTAACTCACAGCTATATTTCCACTGATATCAGATTTAACCACAGTCATAGCAGCTCCAAATTTATCTGGCATTAGAAAAGCAAATGAACTCGAATCATTACACAACTTAAAACAACACAAATACAACTATATGCAACAACATACCTAATGTACACTCGTACACAGACCTTACCCCTAACTCGTACAGATAGAGAGGTTGTTTCTGATAGATGACTCAATGAATACAATCGATAGCATTACATCAATTTTCGAGTAAACTTCAAGAAGATTATAAAGAAAAGTTTGAACCTAGAATTGGCAATACAAGTTTGCAAACTTCCAAAAAAGGCTTAGTCATTAGCTCTCCATGTTCAGATTTGACATCCTTCATTCCTTCCAAAGCAGGGGCAAATAATGTTCCATCCATATTTGCCTATTTTCATGCACATAAAAACACACAAATTTTAAAAGGTAGCAAGTTGGATTGGAAAATTATTTCAGACTATGTTGTTTGGACTTTTCAAAAATGTTATTGTACTCGTATCGAGTCCTTCTTAAATACACTATTTTCGGATGATCCCGAGCAACATAGATTGCAAAATTATGTCTAGGTTATGTTGTTCAAGACTCTCCAAAAATATTGTTATACTCGTATCTGTTCCTTCATAAATATACTATTTTTGAATGATCTCTTCGTTCTTTTTTTTAAGAGATTGAGCAACATAGAAGTCCCAAAAGTAATGACATTTTTACTTTTACAAGAATATACCCTAATTTTGTGTCTTTTTTTTTGTTTTGATGATCGATTCAACCTCAACAAGTTTAGTAACGAGCATTATGATTAACCTAAAGGTAAATTTTCAAACGAATAATTTCAACGAGATCTCTTTTATCCTCGTTGATCCTTATTCGACATTAAAAATATATAATGACTCTTCGCCAATAAAACCAAAATAGGAGAAAAAAAACAAATCTGATGATTAGAAAAAAATAAATATAAAAAGAACCTGTAGAACACAATAAGATTTGCAGGTCAGATGATTTTTGTGTCTAATTTTTTTTTCAGTCACATATAAATTTTTTTTATGAGAAATGAAATATAATAATTATTTTTTTTAGAATTAATTATTAGTGCATTTGTGAGAGATGCAAAAATTAAGAGAAGATAAAAGGGAGTTTTAACGGTTTTTAAAATTAACCGCTGCTTTTACGATATGTACGGAAATTAGAAATTTATGCTCAATTTTGATTCTTCATATTTATTTATTTTCGTTAAAATATTATTCGAATAATCAATTTTGGAAACGATTATTAACATTTAATCGATGTGTAAAAATATAATGGTAAAATACTGTCCGAGTAAAAATACTCTTCGCTAAAACACAAACTATGTGCTAGTTAATTATCTATCAAATTAGATTTAATTGAACCTCTTGCCTCCGAATAAAGTGAAATATTTTTTATAGTTAATTATTTCTTATATTGACAGTCACATATTCGAATCAAAAATAAAATAAAAGAGGAATATCACAATAAGCTAATATTTTCCATATGATAAATCCTCTCTATATAAAATATCTCAATATCAACATCAATATCAACAGCAACGACTCAGATCAACTTAGTCGATCTCAACTTGCTTGAAATAAAGCATAAGATCGGTTGAGTTCTTCGTTTGTGGAATTCCTCCTTGCTTTTGCTATTGCCAAGTGGAATGATTTATTCAACCTCGATGTCGATAATCAAGACATCTTTTTTTGTCGTATATTTTTTTTATTTATTTCTAGTCTCATTACCAAACAAAAAACTCTTCTCATCATGATACACACTTAGTAAAGAAAAAAAAACGACAATAACAATTATTATTATTATTATGACTCGATCTGAAATATGTTATTGAGATCAGTTATATGAATCCTCGTCCCGTAAAAATACTTTAGGCTCAGGATATTTGATAGAGTTCTTGAGAATTTTTTTAGTAGCAGCATGAGCAAGATCAATGCCACAAATATCAGCCAATCTAATGAGATAAAGCAAAACATCAGATAATTCTTCACCAAGATGCTCTTTATCTGATTCTTCCCAATTTGGTAACCCTTTATCCACTTCTCCTCTCCATTGGAATATTTCTGATAATTCCCCTACTTCACCTACCTGAATTTTCAATTGGACAACCAAAAAAAGAAAATATTATATGATTTTTTTATCGTTATGATATTTGATTAAGCATATTTAATCTTCAATCAATCAGATCGGTTTACATCTTTAATCTCTTAATGTATAATTTTTAATCGGTAATTATGGTGTTCAGATTAGGTTGAATGTATCTTGACTAATCATAGAGATGACAATTGGACAGATTGATTTAAATTTGGGCGGATCAAAATGAGTTAAGACAATAAACGGGTCAAGACCCAAATTTTGTTTGGGTCAAAACGGGTCATGATGTAACCCGCTCAATTTTACTAAGTTTTAATAGAATTAAGTTTTAAGTACGTAACAAAAATATTACTTTTTTTTTATCATAAATATATAAAACATCTAAAAAAAATTTAAAAAAAGGTTTCTAAAAAAAATTTGACAAGATTTATCACAAATCAATTTGGGTTACATAACAGCCATTTTTAATAGATTGAATTGAGTTGAGCTAACAAATGGACGGGTCAATAATCGACCCAAATCTGAATGGGTTTGGTAGGGTTGGGCAGGGTGGATTTGATTTTGCCAACCTAATTAATCACTTAGGATACCTGCAATCTCACACTAACACAAGTACTGAATAACTATGTCCAGTAAAGTTTAAACAGACAAGGTATAGATTAAACTAGTGTTTTTGCCTATATTAATATTTGAACTTAAACTGCATTCTCATTCCACTTCATCGACCTCTAGACTACATTCGAGAAATGCTCAAATATGATAATTTTATGAATTTTTACAATCAAAAGGGAATGCAAATTATTTTTCTCTTTCATGAATCTTTAAACAAATTGAAGAGATATGTTTTTTCTTGTGTGCCAAACATTGCCAAGTATTACATGCCAAGATACAATAGGAATCAAGAAAAGATTGTGTGATTGTCTAGTGGTACCAACTACCATTTTTCATACACATTATGTGGCTTGTCTCATCACCTAGTGTGTGTCTAATAAGATACTTTCTCATATTATATTGAAAAAAATGTTCGAAAAATATTCTCTAGAAAAATAAATTCATCAAAAATTTTCGAAGGAAGAACAATAAATTCATAAAAGTATTATATATTCAATTTTAAGAAACTCAAAAAAAGAATATATCATGAAACTTGAATTCGCTTCTGAATCACAACAAAAACTCACAAATAACCATTTCTTAACCCTTGAAATTGAAAAACAATAAAGTTTAAACGCCAAAACATGATTGTCATGAACTTCACTTTTGAAATTTTAAACTCTATGACAGTGACTATTTTTCTTCTATATCACCTAAAAGTAATCAGTAAACGCCGTCTCTATTAATCATATCGAAGACAAAAAAAAAGATAGAAAATTATAGTAAAAGGATTTAATTACCATGGCAAGTAGCAAATTCCTAGGGCTATGATACTTTTCCCAATTTCTAACCTTAGCAAAATCTTCAAGTTGCTTAGAGAGATCTTTAAGACTAATATCCATTGATCTTTCTTGTTCCATTTTGGCTAAGTAAATATGAGATTTGTTGTTTGCAAAGGCTCTTGTCTTGGATTTTAAAGGAGAAAATTTGTTGACATTTGGAAAAGGAAGAATATTATAACCATAAAAGTGAATTAATGATAACATAGTAATAATAATTCTTAGAAGAAGAAGAAGAAGAAGCAGCAGCTTCAAGGGAGTCAAAATTCTTTGAGCATACTAGCCTCAAATATTGATTTTTTTTTTATAATGTAATGATTCTTTGTTCTATCTCATCTATGAAAAGAATATTATATTCCAATTTTCTTATTGTTAATTGAGCATGACACATCTTTTTGTGCAAATTGAGCATGCTTTGAATTTAAAAATTACTACTTTTTTCTATTTTCATTGCACACCATTAGATAGGTTTAGAACTTTACTAAATTTTAATTTATATAATATTATTAAGTAGAAGCAAAATTAAAATTTAGAGTACTTTATGAGTTTTCGAGGTTAAAGAAGAATTTTATTGTGTTCTTGATAATTACTTTTATATAATAAGTAATTTTTTAATTGGAAATATAGAATTTGAGCAAAAATTATTGAGTTCTGTCGAACCTCTCGTTTAAGTGATGATCGCAGAGAGAAGCTCAATCGTTGGATTTGTTTAGTGTTTTAGACCATTCATTTGCTCATTTGGAGTCTTTTCAACTCTTAATTGATTAGTCATTTCACTTTAATTAACAATAAGTAAAATACCAAAAATGGCCTAAACAATTATTATCTTTTGAACAAGTTTCAAAGAAAGAAAATGTAAAAAATAAAAAATTATAAATATAATAAAAAATGAAAAAAAAAAGGCCTAAGTAATAAGTGATTTCTTAATTAAAAATATAGAATTTGAGCTAAAATTGTTGAATTCTGTTGAACCTTTCGTTTAAATGATGAGGGTAGAGAGAAGCTCAATCGTTAGATTTGTTTAGTGTTTTAGACCATTCATTTGCTCATTTGGAGTCCTTTTGACTCTTAATTGATTAGTCATTTCACTTTAATTAACAATAAGTAAAATACCAAAAATGGCCTAAACAATTATTATCTTTTGAACAAATTTCAATGAAACAAAATAAAAAATAAAAAATTATAAATATAATAATAATATATAATAATGAAGAAAAAAAAGGTCCTACCGGGAGTCGAACCCAGGTCGCTGGATTCAAAGTCCAGAGTGCTAACCACTACACCATAGAACCTTAGATGCTTAGTCTACTTGCTTTATATTATTTCATAAAAATATTTTCTATTACAATATTTTGCTTTTTTTATTTTATTTTTATAATAATAATAATAATAATAATATAACATAAAAGATTATGCTATTTCTTGAACACATATAAAAGTAATTTACGTAATATAGAGACGGATGCAGTGTTACGACATCATATTCAGCAATCAACACAAACGTCAATATCCATACTTATAATTTATGAAATTATACTGAATATATTATTATTACGTTTTTTTTAATGAATCGGGTGGGGGTGGGGGTGGGTAAATATACGTTTGGCTCTCTTTATTTATGGAATACCAAAAACATTAGCATTTGTAATTTGGAATATTTTAATCTTATCTATGCATATCACTTTAATTTTGACATTCTTCTTATCAACCGAAAGAAAAAAGCTAATGCAGTAAAAAATTCTTTAAAAGATTTATCAATTATTCCTTGCATCTAATAATCTCCTTAGATAACATTGAAAATAATATTTATTTACTAAAAATAGAAAAAAGAACATTTAGATTTTTACAATGGAATTGTTCCTTTTGCTTATTATATAGTACTTATATGTTAAGTGCTGGCTGAATCTACATTCCATCATAATCAATGTAATTATACTAATTGCTATAGCACCTAGACAGAATATATCTTTTTGTTAGTTTATGATATATAATTATACATATATATATATATATATATATATATATATATATATT